CCCCCCCCCCGAAGGCGCCGCCGCCGCCACCGTGTCCCTGCCCGGCTGAGTACGGGCAAACTCATCGTGCCCTCTGGGAGCGGGGAGAGGAGGGGTTTGGGGGGAGCCCTCGGGGAGCCCCTGGGACCAGCGTCCTCCGGGCGGCTAAATTGGGGATGCTGCCCCCCCTACCCCCGCCCCCTCCTCCGGCGCCCCGGGTGCGGGCACCGCTCCCCTCTCCTCCCGCTTGTCTGATATTTGCCGTCTCGGGTTCACCGAAACATTACCTGCAGGTGCAGTGGCAAAGGGTCTGTCCAAGCCAGAGACACCAAAAATATTGTTTGTTAAATTCCCATCTCTCCCTTAGCTCGTCGGCGCCGTTAGGAATAATTGGGCAGACTCATAACAAAACTCAGAAATGACTAAACCTCCTCCGGTTGGGCACACTTAATTAATTAGAGGGTCCTTTCTTTCTGCTCCATCAGGTACGGTTAAGGATACGCTACAAGCTACTGCTGCTCCAGTAAAGGAGGCCAGGGGTTTGCAAGGCGTTTTCTGATTAACATCCTAATGTTGGCAGACCACTTCTTACCTAAAGGGACACTAAAAGTTTGTTGCTAGCATCAAACGTGACTTCTCCGTTTCCAAAAGGCCTGTAGGAGATCAAGGTAAATCTATCTCAATGTTCCTGAGATCTCATTCCTCGCTGCAAATTGAAACTCCGCTGCTCTAAGGCAGGCTGGTAGCGAGAGGTTGCCATTATCGCACGAGGGTCTCCATATAGTTTTACTGGTTTGCTCGGGGAGGGGAGAGAAAAGCTCACAAAGAACACGACAGGGAATCTAAAACCCAAATCTACCGGTTTATCCCTTATGAATCCATCTGCATTAGCACTTCGCCTCTGAACGCAGTTTCTCATCACAGGGTGCTTTTATCTCCTTTCGCCGCAGCGTTTCGGGAAGGGGATCTGATGTGCGATATTCAGAATATTTTAGCAACGTGCCAGGCGCTCGCAGGTTTTTCCTTTCTGTAAGGCTGACCCCAGACTGCCCGAGCTAACGAGCATGAGGGGGAAACACATCGCTCTTGAGGTTTCCGCAGGTAAAACGTTCTCCTGCGCCTCGCCGCTGCCCAAAGCGGGCTGCAGCGGTCCCGGCCGCAGCCCGCGCCTTGGCCGCAGCCCTGGCCCGGAGCTCTCCGGGCGTTTGCTGGAGCCGTTTCCACCTTCGTAATTAGCATGTGCCCTGGACAGATTTCAGCGTGCGGTCACTGGGATCCGCTTTGCTATAGAGCCCTTATTCTTCTTGGCCACGGGCTACAGTCTAAAGCCTATTACAGCGTGAACGATCTTGTGTTCAGTTCTGAGGATTTAGGACAAGGTCTACATGCAAATTAATAATTGACCAACAATAATTAGAAGAAATGAGAGGGTATTGAGGCGGGGGGTAGGGGGTGGGGACTGCCCGCCGCACGGCGCTGGGTCGGCTGCCTCCCGCCGCACAAGGGCAGCAAAACTTCACACCGTCCCCGTCAGGTACCTGAACTTTTCAGGACACTTCCAGTTTAATCATTTCCAGAAATTTAAAGCGCGGTTGTAATATCAGCAACGGCATTACGCTTCTGTTGCCTGCAAGTCGGGCGGTTAAAGCCAGGTCTATTTTTAAATCCTAACACTATTTTTCTGCTCTGCGAGTGTGTGGTGGAATACAGTTCTATTAAAGATCAACTTCGTCTCTTTGTGAAATCAGCCGCTAGCACCAGCAATCTAGACACAAAGAAGGAAAATCTGAATAGAGTTACATCTCTCTGCAGTGCCATCAAATGTAGCTAATGTCGTGGGTAGAGGGTTTTTGTTTTGTTTTGGTTTGGTTTTTTTTTGTAAGCCCGTCATTGTCAAAAATTCCACTTGGGTGTCAGCAACAACGTCTTCTACCATGACTATCTTTCTCCTGCCTCGAGTCCTCTCGAGTGTACCGCAGACCAACTTTGGGATTATGTGTTACCGGAACGCAACGAGCCGGTGCCCGGCTCCTCCAGCCCCTCTCCTCCCCAGCCCGGCTGCACGGAGGCTGGCGGTGCGAGTAACACAAGCGCAGGGGATCTTTAACCGTAAAGACCATCGAATTAAAAAGCCCAAACTGCCAACGTGCTTGTACCTCCCGGTAATCTGAAAACATGTAAATTGAGCCACGTAATCATTTGCTTAAGGAGATGGTATTTAAATAATAAACAATTAGGTGCTTTGCATAGAAATCCCAGACACATATCTCCATAGCCAAGCGCTGTGACTGGCCACAAACAAGTGATCACAGAGCCAGAAGAAAGCAGGAGAGGCAGATTACTGTCTAACACGAAACTGTTCACCACCAAGGACCTCAGCATTGTTAGCTTCTTAGTTATCTGATATAAATCGTAATCGTATTTGCACTCCGGTTGTAATTACACCATTGGAAATTATCATGTATTGCTGTTTTTGAAAAGGACTCCCTTACAGGCTAGATTCACAGACAGGTGAAAGGAGCCATTTCATAAAAAAAAAAAAAAAAAAAACAGTTTGTTGGCTCAGGGTAACAAGTAGGCAGTTTATCAGTTCCCCCCCCAGGGTTTTTTTTTTTTTTTTTTTTTTTTTTTTAATTGAGCTGAATGGCTCAGTCTTCCCAGGCTGCTATCTTTCTAGATTAAAACACAGATGCACCAAATGTTGTCTGCGAATACACCTGGGGAAACGACCATTCTGTGTTGTTTAGAAAAAAAAAAACACCACCACGCCAAAGAAACACCCCGCAAACGACATCCGTGAGGTCTAAATAGCTGCAT